ACCAGTGCACCGGGCTGGGTTCCTACCAGGGGGTGGGGGAGAGAGGCAATGCGGAGAGACTCCTTGACATCACCATCCAGAGCCGTCGCAGCAGGACAGGACTCTGCAATGGGCGGAATCACATGCGCAACGTGCGAGTCCAGCGCCAGCCTGGCTTCCGTGATATGCGCTAGCCACTGCAGTATGCGTGGTTGGTGCACCATCGGATCTTGCGATTGGAGTGTTTTTGTCAGAAGTTTCTGGCCGGTGCGCAGCAGGAAATGCAGCGGATCCTCTACACCTAGCCTAAGGAGCAAGGTCTGACTAGCTTCCTGAGACATGTGGGCAAAGCTCCGAGCTATAGCCTTCAGGTGCTTGACAAGGACAACGGTGATGCGTGCAACATGCTTCTGTTGCAGGTCTAACAGATGTAGTCCGTATAACGCCGAGCTTCTAACACATGCCACCCAGAGTTGCACTCTCTTCTGTAGAGGAAGAGTACGCGAGTGCAGCACTTTAAGAAGGCGCGCTCTTTGGGCTTCGGCAACCTGAAGACGGTGCTCGACGGTGGCGGTGGTCGCATCCTTATAAGAGAGAACGATGCCCAGGTAGGTGAGTTGTGGGACAATGGGAAGGTGCAGATCCTTCTGACCCGGTTGCGGGATCCGAAGGAAGCGGCCATCCTTTGTGGAGGCCGTGTGTGCTTGCCACCATTTGTGCGCCAGGCGACCTTTTTGGGCGACGAGGAGTTGTGTTTTGCGGTGCTGCACCTGGAGACCTAGTCGAGCAAGGACTTGGAAGCAGTGCTGGATGGTGGATATCATGCACTCTAGCTCTGAGATGCTGTTGTACTCCCATTGGAGAAGGAGGTCATCTGCGAACATAGTGGTGTCGTGCTGAATCCAGTCAAGGGACGCCGTGCCAGCCATGGTTCGAAGCAAAGCAACGGTTACAAGCGTCCAGAGACTAGGGGCAAGAGGACAACCCTGTCGCACGCCTCTCTCGCTAGAGACTCTGATATCGGACTCCGGGCCTGCTGGCCAATACCCGATGTTTTGATGCAAGGACATGATAAGGGTGAGTTCCGGCTCCGAAATACGGGCCGTCTTGAGTTCCTGCTCAAGAACGCTTCGATCGACTGTGTCAAAGGCTTTACTCGTGTCGATGGACAGTGTGACGCCACCCTGACAGGCGGTGGGGACGCGTCCCGTGGCGCGTCTCTCCTGAAGAGTGATCCGCTGCGACGCGATGGCGGTCTGAACACGACGACAGTGATGCAAAGCACGGATAATTGCATGTTCAATGCTACGCCCTGGCACATAAGCGTACTGTGGCCAGGACCTCGTCGCCTCAGTGAGGGACGGACGTAGTTGGAGAGTGAGCGCTTTGACAACGATACGACCTCCTCCTTCAGTAAGAGAAATAGGCCGCAAATTCTCTGGCTGGTCCGGGGCTTTGCCAGGCTTAGCGAGCCATGCGATCCAGGCGTCTGCCCAGAGTTGATGGAAGTCATGAGGGGACTGCCAGAGTTGTTGGCAGAGAGTGGCAAGATGCGGGAGGAGAACATCTTTACCAAGGTGCCACAAGTGAAGCTGTGCCAGATGAGGCGGAGTGGCTTTGCGCGCGGGCAGAAGGGATAACGCCTCATCAAGACGCGGCACCTCGATAGGGCCGAGAGTGGGCTGATGAGCAGGTGAGTTTGCCAAGAGTGCGCCCAGAGGCGCCTCAGCAGGTGAGTGATCAAGAGAAGGGACAGGGGCTGTCTCAATCACAGGGGGGGGTGCGGGCACAGGTGGAGGCTTAACCCTGGTCGAAGATGGCTGCGATGACGGTAGCCTGTAAATGTGCTCACAGTAGGTTCGAAATCGTTCAGCCTCTTCAACGGGCGTGAGCAGACTGCCCTGGCTTCCACGTAGCTGGATCTTCACCCTAGCAGTACGGGGAGCAAGCCGGTTTACCACCTTCCAAATGGAGGATTTATCCCCGTGCTGGTCTGCTTCCCATGCTTGCTGGAGCTGTTCCTCCAGGAGTTCTTTTTTGACCTGACGCCCCCTGCGTCGGAGGTGGCGATGTTGCCTCAGATAAGACGCCTGGTGTCTCCATGCAGAGAGTAGTTGCCCAACGGAGAACCAGAGACGCTCTCCCGTGCCTCGCCAGTGCCGAATCTGCGCGACGATGGTGAAGGGTCGTAAGACCTCAATCGCAAATTGCTGTGCCGTATGTCGGAGATTCCACATCTGCTTCACCATGCCAGTGACCCTGTCCGCGGCTGAATCACCGTGGGTCCTCGGCTGAACAGGAAGCAGGTGCTCGGCCGCCGCCTGCTGCAAAGCCCGATCCAGTTCAGAGGGGTCTGGCGAGGCAGAAAGGGTGTGGGCCAGGTGGTCGCAGAACGCCTGCACTCGCTCAGGGGGCTGAGTAAGCTGATACCTAGGGGCACGGGCCTTAGACGCGTCAAGTATTTTGGCAGGGGATTGGTAATGCACCGCCGGGATGCTTACCAGTACGGGGTAGTGACGGGCGCCTCCACGCCAACGCAGGAGATGAAAAAGGGGGTCCGCACAAGCACACCTCGAGCGTCCATCAATTTGCGCAGCTCGTGCGAAAAAGAAGTCAATTTGACTGCGGACCTGGTCGTGTTCAAATGTGGCAGCCTTGCTGACGCGGCCCCATGTATTCAGTGCAGTAAGTCGATGTGTGTTCGCAAGATTTGCAAGTAGGTGCCTGTCAGGATGGGGATTAGGGCCTAGGTATGTGCCAGGACCAAAGGGCAAGGAGTCCCGGGTTCCCATAGAGTTAAAATCACCACCAACCAGAAGAACGTTCCTGATGGGCAGGGAGGAGAGAGTTTTGTCAAGATGATGCAGAACTCGCTCCCGTTTGTGAAGAACGGCTGCCCTATCGGGGCCGGTTTGCAGTGCATACTGGTAAAGGTTAATAATATCGACATGCCGGCCTTTGACGGGAAAACGGACGTGCATGAG